ATATATCAGACATAATATCTTTTGACTGCATCTGCGTTAATAGTCATGTTTGGTACCCGTCCTTCTTCATCTACCAAGTGCAAGGCCCCTTTTGGTAACACTTTCTTGATGATGTAGGGTCCTTGCCAGTTCGGGGCGAACATTCCTTTAGCTTTTACCTGGTGCGGTAGGATGAATTTCAAAATCAACTGGCCTACCTCAAACTGCCTTGGGCGCACTTTCTTATTGTAAGCGCGTGCCATTCTTTGCTGGTATAACTGGCCGAAACATACTGCTGCTAGCCATTTTTCATCGATCAACATCAGTTGTTCCAATCGGGTCTTGACCCACTCGGTGTCTTCAATCTCTGATTCCACAATAATTTGGAGAGAGGGAATTTCGACTTCAGCGGGTATTACAGCTTCAGTTCCTTATACAAGCAGATACGGAGTTGCACCAACAGATGTGCGAACAGTCGTGCGGTATCCCAAAAGAGCAAAAGGCAACTTTTCATGCCATTGCCTGGAACCTTGGATCATCTTCCTAAGAATCTTCTTGATGTTCTTGTTCGCTGCTTCAACGGCTCCATTGGCTTTTGGCCGGTAAGGGGTAGAATGGCGATGCATGATTTTAAATTGTTCGCATACCTCCTTCATCAAATGACTATTTAGATTGGCTGCATTATCAGTGATGATGGTCTTTGGGATACCAAAGCGACAGATGATGTTGGAATGAACAAATTCTACCACTACTTTCTTGGTGACTGCTTTGAAAGTGACGGCCTCCACCCACTTGGTGAAGTAATCAATTGCAACCAAAATGAATCTATGCCCATTTGAAGCCTTTGGCTCTATTGGCCCAATGACATCCATTCCCCAAGCAACGAAAGGCTAAGGAGAGGACATGGGATGCAACTCGAAGGAGGTGAGTGAATCAGGTCACCATGAATCTGGCATTGGTGACACTTGCGAACAAATCTGAAGCAATCTCGCTCCATAGTAAGCCAATAATACCCTGCCCGCAGAATCTTCTTCGCCAAAACATATCCATTCATGTGAGGTCTGTATACCCCCGAATGCACTTCACTCATGATCCGCTCTGCTTCTATAGCATCTATGCATCTCAACAAGTTTAAATCTGGGGTCCTCTTGTACTGAATTTCCCCATTCAGGAAGAAACCACTGGCGAGCCGCCTTATAGTTCTTTTTTGATCTCCTATAGCATGCTCTGGATATTCTCTTATTTTCAGGAATCGTTTTATGTCATGATACCATGGTTCACCATCTGGTTCTGTCTCAATTGTAATGCAGTAACCGTGTTGAATCTAAACTTGGATTTCTAGTGGATCAATATGAGTGTTGCCTGGATAAGGGAGCATCGAGGCTAAAGTAGCCAAGGCATCGTCTAGCTCGTTGTGAAACCTGGGAATGTACTTGAACTCGATGGATTTGAATCTTTTGCTCAAGTCTTGCACACATTGTCTGCACGGAATAAGCTTGATGTCTCGAGTCTCCCATTCGCCTTGGGCTTGCCGGATAAGCAAGTCAGAATCTCCCATAACCAATAGTTCATGCACATCCAGATCGATGGCCATTTTCAAACCCATGATACAAGCTTCGTATTCTTCCGTATTATTGGTACAGAAGAACCGAAGTCGGGCCGTTACAGGGTAATGGTGTCCAATAGGTGATATGAGGATTGCCCCGATCCCAACTCCTTTGATATTGACAGCCCCATCAAAATACATTTTCCATACAGGGTGATCGTCTGGAACCACTTCCTCTATTGAGTTGACCTCTTCATCTGGGAAGTATGTGCTAAGTGGCATGTACTCATTATCAACTGGTTTCTGTGCCAAATGATCTGTCAAAGCCTATGTTTTCATCGCAGTGCGAGTGACATAGACAATGTCAAACTCTGTGAGCAGGATTTGCCATTTTGCGAGCCTGCCAGTGGGCATTGGCTTTTGGATGATGTACTTTAAAGGATCCATTCTGGATATGAGGTAAGTAGTGTAGGCCAAAAGATAATGTCTCAGCTTTTGAGCGACCCAAGTCAAGGCACAACATGCCCTTTCTAAAAAGGTGTATTTAACCTCATAACTGGTGAACTTCTTGCTCAAATAATAGATTGCATGTTCCTTTTTGCCTGTTGAATCATGTTTCCCCAGAACGCATCCAAAGGAATTATCCATCACCGATAGATATAAAAACGAAGGCCTACCAGGTTCAGGCGGGACCAGTACAGGGGGTTTTGACAGATAATCTTTGATCCTATCAAAAGCTTTTTGGGAATCGTCTGTCCACCTGATAGAGGCATCCTTTTTCAGCAACTTAAAGATGGGCTCGCACGTGGTTGTGAGCTGAGCAATGAACCTACTGATGTAGTATAACCTCCCGAGCAAACTCATGACTTCCTTTTTGTTCTTCGGGGGTGGCAGATCTCGAATGGACTTTATCTTAGATGGATCAAATTCGATGCCTCTCCGGCTGACTATAAAACCGAGGAGTTTCCCAGATGGAACCCCAAATGCACACTTGGCTGGATTAAGCTTAAGGTTATACCTTTGAAGCCGTTCGAAGAACTTTTTCAAATCACACACGTGATCAGCTTGTGTCTTTGATTTTATGATGACACCGTCAACATATACTTCAATCTCTTTGTGCTTCATGTCGTGAAAAATGGTGGTCATGGCCCTCATGTAAGTTGCCCCTGCATTCTTTAAACCGAATGGCACGACCCTATAACAATAAGTACCCTATGGCGTGGTGAAAGCGGTCTTTTCTGCATCATCCTCATCCATGGCGTAACGAACGATTGGATCTCATGCTTTGCACAATTATCTACAAGAATGTGGATGTTTGGCAAAGGAAAATTATCCTTTGGACTAGCTTTGTTCAGGTCCCTATAGTTGACACAAACTCTGGTTTTTCCATCCTTCTTCGGCACAGGCACAACATATTCCACACATGTGGTGTATCGGACAGCTCTAACCACATTGGCGCTTAGTTGCTTCATTATTTTCTCTTTGATTTTGTCACTCATGTCTGTTTTAAATTTTAGTTGCTTTTGCTGGACTGGTGGAAAACCAGGATACGTAGGAATCTTATGAACCACCAGATCAGCACTTAAACCCGGAATATTATCGTAAGACCAAGCAAACACATCTCTCTATTCAAATAAAAGTTGAATCAAGGCATCTCTTGTTTTTTGTTCGGTGTGAATGCTTATCTTCATCTCTCTAACTTCTTCATGACTTCCGATATTAATCGACTTAGTTTCATTGAGGTTTGGCTTAGGCTTGTTTTCAAATTGTTCCAGCTTTCTTTTTATTTCCTCAACAACCTCATCTTCATCATATTCAACCTTTTGATGCATTATTTCGATATTAGACAGCTTTTTAAGATCTGGGCGTGAATTCCGCATGCATATCATGTTATTAAAGCCGGCATTAACAAAACTGAAATGGAAATAAAATGGCTGTGGGGCTTACTTCCTAGCCCCAGTGGGAGTAGTGACTAGCGTTATAGGTCGTTGGCGGCCGGAAGGTCCAACAGTTTAAAGGAAGGGGTGAAGTCTCGGGATCTGCTCTAGTCGAGTTGTTAGATGTCTCTCTATTAGATAGGGACTCCGGAAGTTCATGGGAAGAGGTTAGTGGAAGAGATCATCTTTTCGGGGTTGGATTCACTGAAGTGGATGATAGGCAAGAGAAGACAGAGGAGGTTCTTTCACTCCTTGCTGGCGAAGCGGCATACCGGAAGAAATTGGTAGATCGACGACGGAACGAAGAACGCTATTTTATGACAGCAACACAACAAAGAAGAATTTTATGGGGCTTCCCTGTCGAGAATTAAAAGTTTTTCTCTTAGAGAGGCGTTTTCCTCGCTTAGAAAAGAGGCCTTTCCCCAAGATATTGGTTTCAAGCTCCTGCGGGTGACTTTTTGTCTTACGACATGGCATGGTAATTGATCGAGTGCGCTTTCCTTTCTCCTAAAGGTAAGCGCCTAGCGCGAACCTTATTTATTAGTAGAAAAAGGAAAAGATACAAAACTTAATACGAAACTGAACTGCATTTCATTGAATTCAAAAGGATAGAAGGGTTAACATCAAAATAAAATGATCATACTGAGATGTTTGGATTACAACCCTGAAAGTAACCCAAAATACAAAAAAGAAGCTGCAAAAGCAAACTACCAAGACTCCTTCCTTGTGGGGAGAGGAGTTGCTTCCCAGTTGGTGAGCATGGTGTCTGGGTCAATTAGTTGCATATCAGCACGACTAGTGCCTTCACTAGCCTGGATCATATTCACTTCAGAAAACATCTGGCTGAGGCCATGGCAAATTTCATTAATGTTTGCATGTGCCGAGGAATTTTGACCCTCTTGGAGTCGTGGCTTGACAAAAGTGTAGAAAATGTGAGGGATAGGTTGTTGCAAGACCCATCCATACTTTTTGCGGTGCTTGGCTTTGTTTTCATCTGCTTGTGTTGGCCTGAAGCCTAATCCAAAAGTACCCTGGTTACCGAACGGAGAAATAGGCTCCGAAATTCCTTACAATGATGCCCCCAAGCCTTTTCCTGGTTCATAACCTTATCTCATCATAACTGCAACCACCATTACAGATGTGGCAGAAAGACGAGGATGTAGGATGGGCTGTCCTTCCTCAACATGGTCCACAGCAACCACTTCAAAAGCCTGATAGACAATGGACTCAGATCCTTCCTTGGCCTCAATGCAGGGGATTAATGGGTTTTTATAAATGGAAGACTCGTCTTCCCCGTGAACAATAATTTCTTGCTTGTCATGTTCAAATTTGAGCATCTGATGCAAGGTGGATGGTACAGCTTGGGCCGTATGGATCCATGGCCTTCCAAGAAGAAAGTTATAAGAAGTGGCCATGTCCACTACTTGGAAGACAATCTCAAAGTCAACCGGCCCAATCGTCATGGTGAGGTTGATCTCCCCAATGGTATCTCTTGCTGAGCCATCAAAAGCCCGGATGCGAACATTGCTGGGTCGAATTCAGTCGGTATTGATCTTCATGCTTTGCAAGATAGAGAGAGGGCATACATCTACACTTGAGCCTCCATCAACCATGACTCGCTTTACATAATGCCCCTCACATTTGACCATCAAGTTCAAAGCCCTATTGTGCCCGGCTCCCTCCTCGGGAAGTTTATCATCAGTAAAGGAGATTCTGTTCACCTCAAAAAATCTGTTGTCCATTCTCTCTAACTGATTCATTGTGGTCTCCTCTGAGATATGTGCTTCGTTTAGGACCTTGATTAGTACACGGGCATGCTCTTTGGAATGTATGAGCAAAGATAGTAGAGAGATTTGGGCAGGAGTCTTTCTTAGCTGGTCAATGATTGAGTAATCCTGAACTTTCATCTTTTTCAAAAACTCTTCCGCCTCTGCTTCAGTGACTGGTTTCTTTATTGGCAATTGACCTCCTCTGATTTGCTTGGCCTTCCTCAACTCTTCTGGAGAGTAACATCTCCCCGATCGAGTCAAACCTCCAGTTTCCCCCACTTCCTCTATGATTTCCTTGCCTTTGTAGGTCATCACAGTTTTGTTGTAGTTCCAAGGAGTGCTTTTTGTATTTGTCACAGGGGGTTGCACGACAGGTTTGATTATGATCGGCTCTGTTATGCCACTCGTACCACCCTGATTGTGCTTTGTATTGGGATGGCCTCCAAGGACGTACAACCTTGGGCTTGGAACATTGGAGCGAACCTCCAACCTTGATACCTTAGGCACACATAAAGTTACCTTTTCTGAGTTCGGGGCGCCTTTCACAATCAACGGCACATCTCGGCTTGAACTTACTTTCAAACTTGTTCCTTCTTGAATTGCTCCCACTGTCATTTTTGCTTGACTGACCGTCTTGTATTCTTGATCTCGGCCAATCATTCCCACAAAATGAGCATCATTATGTGCTGGCAATGGGTTGTTTGTCACATTAGGAGGGTCCTCGCCATTTTTCACTACAATCAATTTTTCAGAAATGAGTCTCTCTATGGCTCTTTTCAAAGTCCAACAGTCATCAGTGCTATGCCCCGAGGCACCTGAATGATATTCACATCTAGCATTTGCTTGAAATCCATGTGAATCAGGATGCATATGGTGGGGAGTGATGGGTCCAATCACGCCCATTTGCTTCAGCTTCTGGAATAGACTAGAGTATGATTCGGCCAATGGAGTGAATTTTTCTGCTGGTCTCTGATCTCGACCATAATCCTGCTTGGGACGAGCATTGTATGGTGCCCGAAAATTTTGCTGTTGAGGTCGGGGGCCCTTGGAGCTGGTGCCTGTACCTGCTGATTGGGAGGTCGAGCATATGATTAAGCATTGAACACTGTATATTGTGGTGGGCCCACAGAGTATTGAGGAACTGGCGGGGGATAGTAATGTTGAGGGTAGCTGGATTGCCCCTGCTGAACTTGCATATAAAGGTGCGATGCCCCTCTTTGAACTTCCCTAGATCCCGAAGCCATCATGGACCCTTCATCTCTCTTCTTTCTATTTTCCAAACCTCCCGACCCATTTGGATAGCTTGGGTGGTAGCCTTGAGAGCAGCTTGACTTACAATTCTGCCAGTCTTGAGTCCATTTTCGACCATCTCCCCTATTTTGATTGCTTCTGCCAAAGGTCTACCCATCGCGGACATCATGTTCTGAAAGTAATCAGGCTCTTGAGCCTCCAGAAAAACAGTGATCAACTCGTGGTTATCCATGGCGGCTTAACTCTAGCCGCTTGCTCCCTCCACTCGATGGCATACTCCCTAAAACTTTCAGTCGGCTTTTTCTTCATATTGGACAAGGAATTACGATCTGGCGCAATATCAATGTTGTACTGAAATTGTTTGACGAAGGCTTGGGCCATGTCATCCCAAACATGCCAGTGAGAGATATCTTGGTCAATGAACCATTCGGAAGCTACCCCCACAAGGCTTTCCCCAAAGCAAGCCATCAGCAGCTCTTCCTTTCCTCCTGCACCCCTCAGCTGGTTGCAGTACCTTTTCAAGTGGGCGATAGGGTCGCCGTGTCCATCATATTTCTCAAATTTTGGGGTCTTGAACCCTCGTGGCAAATAGATGTGAGGGAACATGCATAGATCACTGAATGAAACACTTTTGTGACCACCTAATCCCTGTATATTCTTTATATTCTGTTCAAGACTTTTCATTTTCCTGGCCATCTCATCTGGCTCAACCGTCGTGGCACACTTTTCATTTTCCACTGGTGACTCGTACTGTGGAGTCTGATTGTATGGAGCCGAGACCCCGAAAGCCATATTTGGAGAATAGTATTGGCCATCATAAGCATGAGAAGGTGGATCATTTATTGTCCTCGTCACAAGAGGTGGTGGCGGGATTGTATATACCGGTGCGCCAGACACGACGAGAGGGGTGTTCCTGACTGGTGTGACTAGAGGTCGCATGTTAGAGGTACCGGGGGCAGCATGGAGGCTGTAGTTTGGCACATACCCTGGTGGTAGAATGGGATCGCTCGTTGCATGGAGCGGTGGTTGAGTAGCCTAGGGTATTGTGGAAGTTCCCTCTGAGGGACCCTGGGGTGGAGGTCGACAGGAAACCCAAGCTTGATATACATCTGACAATTGTTGTCTCAATTTTCTTATTTCCTCCGACTCTTGCTCAACTGACTAACCCTGCAGATTGTCACTGACCAACTCGATTTCATCACTATTATCCATTACCACCGCTCCCTTAGATCTTGTGAAGTAATGATGTGTTGCCAGCTTCACCACAAACCAACCGCTTTAAGCTTACTATATAAGAGGCAACAAATATGATAGGGTTAAGCATTTTACAGATAGGAATCACACATAGATATCACCATATCTAATATTCTTTTGAAAGGCTTCATGTTTCATTCCGGCTTATCAGCTTGTTACTAATTGACACTGTTATTTCCTCCTCTCTTTTTTTTCGTTTTTTTCTTTTCTATCACTCGCCTTGTTTTGATCCCTCACTTTAGAGTCATTTGAAAAATATTTGATTGAACCTTTTGTGGGTTGCCTACGTATCATGTCGCCGCATGAATCAGATCATTACGTAGTTCAGGTACAAGACCCTTCTCTTTTTTTTTACAAAACAAACATCTTTTTGGTTAATTTTAGAATTTTTCTAAACAAAAATCTTTTTCATTGATTTTCAATATAATTTTTTTTTGATACAAGACTCAAAAGCAAGAGTTACATAGAGATAAACAAGACCAAACCTGACTCAAACAGACTTTTTAGGATAAAAGGAAAAACAACAAGACTCAAAACACCAAAAGACTCTTACAGACTCAAAAACAACAAAAGCATAATGAAAAAGGACTGATAACTAAAAGAAGACTTTGATCCCAGCAGTAGAATCCACCAGCATCACTGTAATCAAGGCTCTTGTTCCTGCGGCTGACCCCCAACATTGTGGTATATCCTCTCCAAGTCTGCAGATATATGACGAGCAATGTTCAATGATACTTCTGCAAACCGCTCGGGCGTCATTCCCTGGCAACTCCTGCATGCTCTTGAGGTATATGTGGCTACCGAGGATCTTTCCTTTAATGTATTCCTGAGCCACATGCAACTCTTGATTTTGCTGACCACGGGTCTCAGCTAGATCCAGCGCATCACGCTCGCGGTCCAAGGCCATATCTTTCTGGCGCCGATTTTCTAGTAACTCCCCCTCCAATCGATTGATCATACTCTGGTAGTGATGTCTTTCTACTTCAAACTCCGCGATCTGGCTCTCCTTGCTTGATTCAACTCCCTCTAGTTGATCCCTTAAACCTTTGATTAGTGGAGCGTAACTCATGCGCTCATGATCACGGACTACCCTGAACTAGGCTTCTCTCTCTTCTTGTTGCTGAGCGGTTGTGACTATGTTCTTCTTTCGAAATTAGGATTTGAGTGCTTGCTTCTCTCGTGCCCACTGATCTTTCTCTTTCTCAAAAGCATCATACAGTAGATCCCTGTCTACTTTAACGATGTCGAGCTCTTCTTGCAGTGCTCCAAAGTCAGATTCATAACCCCTTTTCATCTCTTCCTCGGCCAGCCCAACTCTGTTTCGAATCTCAGCCTCCCACTCTGTGGTGCTCTTCACGACTGTCCCTGGTCTATCTGCGAGAGCATCTTGATTATAGAACCATTCAAGATAAGAAGGATTCAACTCACCCCTTCCTCGATCTGCCACCATAGTGCCACGCTCGAGTATCTTAGTGCCATTCCAAACACGTTGAGCATAAGCTTCACAAATGAGATCCTCTGATGTTGCTTCCCGAATAAAATTTTCCATAGTCTCTACCGGGGGCACTATTTGTTTGTGACCCAACTGACGTAGAACTCTCATGGGAACATATGGCTGATAACCTCGAAGCCCCATCAAGATCAGAAACGGATGGCAAGATGACTTATAGATGACATATTTTGCGGTGATCCAAGGATAATTCCATGTGATCTGATCATCTGTTAAGGAGTGATGATACTCTTTCCAATCATTGACACATTCGTGGAAAATGCGGATCTCCAGCTCACTCTTCAATCTAGCATTATACTGGCGAACATGATTACTCCAACAAGTACGGTGGTGTACCTGATAAGGACGACGAAAAAGATGATCCATGAACCACATCTGGAGCAGGAGGTTGCAACCTTCAAAGAAACCTTTTCCTTCCCAGCACCTGGTCAAGGCACGAAAGATATCTGCTAACACCATTGGAAGAATGGAGGAATCATTTCTTTTCATCATGGCTGTGACTATCACAGATAACCGAATGTTGATCTTCTGATCCTCTCTTGGGAAGACCATGCACCCCAAGAAAGCTACAATGAATGCTTTCCGTCCATGGCCTCGCCATGTGTGTTGGTTCTGTTTGTTAATTAGCTTCTTCCCATATTCTGAGAACCCCCCCTTCATGCCCGTACCTGTCATACAAGAAATCTAGGCGGACCTGCCCTTGCGCCACATATGCTATCTCGGTGTGGTTGATCCATATCTGCTCAAGGAACTTGTAGCAGTAACGTCCCTGGGAGCCAAAAGTCTCTTTGTTCGACTCTTATGCCCCAGATCGGTATATTCAGCGAGTTCCTCCAAGGTAGGAGTCATTTCAAACCCATTAAGACGAAACACATTATTCTTCGGGTCCCAGAAATAAACTAAAGCCTCGATGAGTTCTCGTTTGGGCTCAATCTCCATAATGTTTACCAAGTTTTTCAAGTAATCGATCTTTCCTTGCTCAAACCCATCCATGTTGTTCCACCATCGCTTCAATAAACTGGGCACTTTGTCGACAATCTTAAACGGCGAGTGCTCTTCATCTCTCGGCCTCTTATCAGGTCTCCCACTAACTGAATCCATATCGTACCTATATAAATAAAATTATGAGGTCAAGTCCTAATCTAAACTCAAAGAAATGACACCAAGCAGCCTTTTGGATAAGACAACGGACAGACTTCTTATGGGAGGAGGGCTAGACTCTAGATGGATTACTCAGGTATCTCGCAGAGGAAACAAAAATGGCTGGACAAAGGACAAAATGATAAAAAGTGACGAAGAGGACAAGATGGTTATTTTTATGAAAATGGCTCTTCAGTACGTCCAAGAAAAGAACTTAGGCAGTCCCGGTAAAAATAATTGAACACATGGATAAGCGGGTTAAAAGTAAATAAAGCTTATTTTTTTACGAAAACCCCCTTTTCAAAAAAGAAAAAAAAATGTAAGGTTGATTTGGCAAAAATGGCCGATAACAAAGGACGACATGACAAAAACAAAATGACTATTTTTTACAAAAATAGCCCCTCGACACTTCCGAGGGAGGTTGAAAGGCTATCTCGGCAAAAACGGATAAAAATAAAGACGAAATGGTAAAAGATGTCAAGAAGGAGCAAAGTAATCATTTTGTACGGAAATAGCCCTTCGGCGCTTCCGAGAAAGGCTTTAAGGCTATTTTAGCAAAAATGGTTCAACATTGGGAAAAACGGTAAAATATTAGCTAACTTTATGAAGACAGCCATTCGGCGGTTCCGAAGAAGGTTTTGAGGTTGTAAAAAACATGATCAGACGCAAAGAAAAAAAAGAAACAATGAAAAATACAAAAAGCAGGAATACTATTTTATTATTATTATTATTATTTTAAAATTAAAAAAAATTGAAAAATATTATGGACACACCGATTTCGAAAACTCTTGCCAAAAATGGGGCCGAACCCGATGAAGGTTGCCTACGCACCCCACTAAAATTATTAGAATCAGACATGCGTAGTTCAAACCAAGACTAGACCACTTTTATTTTATTTTATTTTATTTTTATTTGGTAAAAAAGAATTACCTGTACAAAACTGGGGGAATGATTTTTTTATTTTTTTTTAGCTCAACTAATTTTCTAAAGCCGGTCAACAAATGCAAGAAAACCTTCCAAATGATGCAACAAGTAGCACATAAGTGAACATGATGGTCTCAAAAAGGATACATGTCTTATACGGACTCGGGCCCCTGTGCCGAGCTTTGCTAAGTCAAATGCATATGATGCAACAAAACGATCCTACTAGGGATAACCAGGCATGTGGCTTGTTCTTCTAGGTTTAAAAGGTCCTAGGGGATGATGCGTAACGAGCGGACAACTCGAGTTGGGAAGGGGTAGCGTACCGGGAG